TCCGAATTTGCATGAAATATTTCAATTCAACGAAAATTTTTTTTTTGTTGCATTAATTATGATCGCCACTGTATGTAAAATTGCCTTTACGACATTTTGATAGTGCTCCAAGATAGATTTAAGCATCTTTTTTCTGTATTTCGTTCGTGCTTTGGATTTGTTTTTCCGGTCTGATCAAAAATTTACACATTCTCATTGGCTTGTTTCTCAGATAGCTCACCAGACGTACAGCTCTTTAGTCCATCCTCATATTTATGCCAAAATCGGCCAACAAGCCAATAACATAACCGTATATGCATGTAAATAAAGAGTAATGATGACTACTTATTCATGTCAAGCTAAAATAAAGTAAGGGAGTTAGTTTTATCAAATACTTTTATAATTCAATTTGGGTAATTTCCCGCACAAGATAATATTAATATTGCCAAGTCATAATATTAAAAAGCAAATATGATGTATTTATTAATAGAATGTCTCTTATGGGACGTGATACAACAACAAAGTGAACATAATTCCATAATAAGTAACTTTTACAATAATGCTGAGTATTTATTTGCATTCGAAAAATAATAATATTAACTTGAAGAGATTATACCTCTTCAACACTTTCTGTCTACTAGAGGAAAAAACAGATAGGATGACGAAGAAATTATTATAAAAATTTAGGATTACAATTTCAGATTTCAAAGGCAATGTATAAGTTAAGTTCATTTCTGAATTAACCGAATGTATTTGTGTTAAAATTCGTTTGGCTAAAGCTCATCTACCATATCTACCACACCATCTACCACATCCTCCACCACCCTTAAACCTCTCTTAAGAAAACTTCCAAAATCAGCCTCGACATTAACGCTCATAAGGCTAAGCGCAAACATGACGGCCAAAAGTACGAATATATACTTAGGGTTCATGGCGTTGGTATAAGCGTTTTGGCAATGACGAATTTTCTGATCAAACTGAGCAAATATTTACACTAGGTTAGGGTAAATGAACCAAATTGAAGAAATGAGTAAATATTAAAATATGTAGTTAACTACACTAACTGGAAGTATACAGTCAAAGACTTGTTACATGGTGCATGCGGAAAAAAATTCTCATTATAACGAAGAAAATCCAAAAAAACTTCTAATTAGATTTTCTCGATGTAATTTATAATAAATTCTCGATATAACGAAGTTTGCCCGGCCACTTCGTTATATAGAGTTTTGACTGTACCAAGAGGCACCATTAATTAACTGCGCATACCTCTTCGATTATTGATAGTGATTAGAAAAAGATATTTTTGTGAAGACGATTGCTTCTCAATGGTTAAAATTAAGGATTTTTCTGTAGACAATTTTGTAAAGACAATTTCTTTTATACATACCTGGACAACATATAACTAGTCTTTTTCGGCAAGACAAAACAAATAACTCAAAATTCTTCCACAATTCAACATGCATACTTGAGCAATGTATACTAGTCTGTTCTAAGCAGGACAAGACAAAGAACTTAAAAATTATAACATGTATACCTGAGCAATGTATAACTAGTATGTTCTCAGCAGGACAAGACAAAGGGCTCACAATGATAATATGTACATCTGAGCAATGTATAATTAGTTTATTTTCGGTAGAAAAAGACAAAGAACTCAACATTTCTCGAAATAATAACGGATAGTGCCCGGAGCCTGTTTCCTGTAGGACAAGACAATCTAAATCATATATGGGTAGTTAACTTGAGTATACGCATTTTCTTTGTAAAAAATTTGGGTTGTTATCTATTGTAAAATCAAAAAGAATATGAAAGCTAAACCTCAGCCTAATACATTTATATTGTATCAATTAGTATTCTTAATATAAAAAAGGTTAAGAGTAAAAGTTTGAATTTTAAACATCAGAATTGTACATGTATAATCCGGAAGATTATCCGTCTGGGCTGCATGTATGTGTACCTGCGAAATGGAGTATAAGCTTAAGCATGTGAAATGTTCGGGAAAAAAGTTCTGTTTGAAAAAAATGCCAAGAAACAGAACCTCAGATGTCATAGGATCAAATGACAAGCATTTTCCACAATATACGTAATTATCAATGCTCTGTTTTTATGATTCAGGCACCCGTCTCGGTCAGGTGAATCTAACGATCCTAAAATTGACTTGTTAACTGATTACGTACGAACGTACATGTTGCAGATCTCAAGCATTTCGTCCAATACATGTATACGTATGTATTATCGTTATGTCCAAAATTGTCTATCACTATGTCCAAAGATGTCCATCAACTATGTCCAAAATTGTTCAATACTATGTTCAAAGTTGTCCCCGAGATGTCCTGTGACAACGTTGTTTGTCGCTATCGCTATTGTTTGACATGTAACGTACTAAGCAACAAATATTGTAGTACATGTACATCCTACAATAAATTACTGTCAAGTTTTCAATTTTATTAATAAACATATAATGTATTTAATTTTACATTAAAATAAAGATATTTTGATATAAGGTAAAGGGGGTATTTGTGGTGGGGTGGGAGGGTATTGTGGCGGGTCAAAAAAATCCTTAAACCACAAATAAATATGGTAATAATATTGTCAATGTGTTTAAGACTTGTATATATTTATATTTTAAAAATATATTGGTAATATTCGCCAAAATACTCCTTATACATGTATTTTAAATTTATTTAATTGTTAAATGTTTTATTATATTTCATCGCATATGCATTATATTCTCCGTTAGGGTAACAGAACCCAAAATTTAAAGTTATATTTTCAGTTCTCACTACGTATACTAAATCCGGGATTTTGCATTATAATCGTGCTATTTTACAAAATTAAATAATAAATATAAATTGAATATTGAGTTGTTATTATTTTGTATTTAGGCTGCTTGAAATTAATTATTATTTAACTTTCTTTTTTGAAAAAATCAAGGTGAAGCGGGGTAAAACAACATGAAAATAAATACTACAATTTTATTGGTTATATAATATTGATATGATTAGAATTTTCCTATAGTCATTCTTATAAGAACAAATAACGAGTTAATAAAGTTATAATCTATATGTAATAAAAATCAACTAAGATTACTCCATTTTATTCATGTTTCTCTTTCTTTTATTAGATTAGAACTTAAGTGTTCCATGTTTCTACAATAAACATATAAAGAATATATGTTTTTCCAAGCAGCAACATTTCTTTTGAAATTTATTCAAGTTCGATTCACCATAATAATAACAAATATCATCTTATTTACAAAAGCTGGTCAAATAATATCAGACTTGATGTATTACTTTCTCTAAGAACTATTACAAATAAAGTCGTTGGCTGCAAATATGGATTGCATTTTTTAGAATTGTAACTCTCTGAACTTAATCTTGTAGTATTGGCATTCAAAAATTTATTATAAGTCTATAAATATTACAAAAATTATAAGTTTTAGTTGATATTAATATTATTTTATTTGCACTTAAGACACAAAATACAAGTATTTTAGTAAAAATAAAAGCTATTAACGAAAAATTATTTTATAATTTTCGGATCAAACTCGATCCGAATTTGTTCGAGCGGGTTGACCTCAAATCCGATACAACCCGAACAGAGCTTTATTTTATTTTTATTCTATCCTTATTATATTTTAATATAAAACTAAAATTTGCCATATATTATATATCTAAATTTCATTCAGTTTCATATTTATGTAAATAATATTTGAATTATAATTCTTATCAGAATTTCGTATTTTATTACTTTCAAAATTATTAAACATTTTAAAAATTAAATCCAATAAACATATTTAATTTTAAATTATCAGTAACCTTATCATAACTAGAATTTTTTCTTATAGTTTTTACTTTTTTCAATATTATTAATATTTAATTTTATATTTAATTAAAAAGATTATAATATTAAACTTTACAAGATTTTCTAAAATATATAATTAAGTTAAAAAAATATGTTTACAAGCTATACTATTAAATATAATAAAAAGTTATAAAACAATATTATAATTACTTATTAATTAATTAAAATATTAATTAGATATATAAAATATTATTGTATCTTTTACAATTTCTATTTACAAAATTATATTTAATAATACATATATTTTTAAATAATATATTAATAATATATTTCTAATTAATATATTAATAATATATTTCTAAATAATATATTAATAACTTAATTAGTTTAATTATAAATCTAAATTAATTTTAATTATATATTTAAATTATATTATCAATTTTAGAATTTATATCTAGTTATTATTATTAAAAGTTCCAAAATTTTTAGTTTTTAAAAATAATTTTATGTAATTGCAATTACAAAAAAGTTATTGAATTTGAATTTAATATTTTTATAAGCTAAATACAAAAAATAAATCTGAATTATTAAATTTTTTATATTATTTATTAAATACTTATAGTATTAATCAAAATAAAGATAATTTTCTTATATAAAGTTTTCAATTTTACTAATAAATTTTTTTATTTTTATATTAAAATAAAAATAATATTGCATATTTTAATATATATTTTTTTTTAAATTTTTAGATTTATATAATCAAATTATTTAAATTATATATAAAGTTAATAGTTTTTTTATATATTTAAATTATAAAAAAAAATTATTAATTTATATATAATTAAAATAACTTGATCAAATTAAATATAAAAAATATTTATTAATAAAATTAAAAACTTTTATATAAAAAAATTTATATTTTATTAATAAATTTTAATATTATTGTATTATTTTTAATTATTATATAATATTTCTTAAACTATCAAATTTAGTAAGCAAATTTGCTCGCTAAATTTCTATAAATTTATATCTGATATATTTTTACAAAAAATTAAAATATTTTAAAAAAGTTTATTTAATCTTGATTTTAATTATATATTTTATAATAGTTATTTTTACTTTTTAATATTATAAAAATTATAGTTATCTATAAGTTAAAAATAAGCAATTTTAAAAATTTTATTATTAATCTTAAATTTAAAAATATTTTATAATAAAATTACAGAATTAATTAAAAAATAAATTAAATATTTTGAGCAATTGTAAATTAAAATTATAAATTTATATTATATTAATTAAAAATATGTTATATTTTTATTTTAACTTAGAAAAAGAAGGAGTTAAGCTTATAAAATTAGTAATAAATATACAAAAATAAGCTAAAAAATTTTAGTGGGCAAATTTGCCTGCTGGATGATTTAAAAAATAATAATTTCTAAAAATATAATTTTTTGTAATAATTAATTATTAATTTAATTTTAATAATTGCAAGTTTTATATTAATATATATAACAAAATAATTATAAAAGAAATAAAATCTATTTAATATATTTAATATTTCTAGTTATATCATCACACTATGTCAATCAAATTAAAACTACAGATATTTAGCTATTATTTATCTGTGACCAAAACCAGTATTTAAATCGCAGTAATACTGATTTAGGCATAGAAGAACTAGTCTATTATTTCATGTTGAAATAATATTACTGAAATTAACTATTCTTTCCAAGATATCTAATCCAGAATATCATAAGCCAAATTATTATCCTCTAAAATGATTTAAATCATTAGTAGAGGAATACAAAAATCAACATATTTCATTGAATTCTAATATTTGTATTAATACATTGCAATTTTTACGATATATAGCGATTATAAAAAATCTAACGTGAAGCATAAAAATTATTTATAGTGCTGCTGCTCCAGTACATGTATTAAAGTCGATTGGCTACAAAGTTAGTCATATTGTTTGTGATATCCTTTTCTGAGAATTTCTACTATAAAACATTTTCATACTGATAGTAATAGTAAATGTAATTTTTTTAATAATTTATCTAATAATTTCTCCAAAAATTTATGTAATAATTTGTTAATATGAATTTAAAAATATATCTAAAGAATAGTTCCAAAGGACCAAATAAAGTGTGCTTTAAAAGCAAAAACCTTATAGTTGCTTACTTATGTACAATAGCTCTTATAAAATCGACTTTAATTCACCATGCTAATGATTTGTTTGTCGTAAAAAAAAGGTTTGTACTTTTGATCCAGAAAGTGATTGTTTTATTAAAGACGGACGATATTAACGGAGTGTAACACAATATCCGTAGATATTGGCACAGGCAATTGAGTATATATGTGATAATAGCGTCAATTTCCTAATCGACCCGCTGCTCGGTAACAATACGTAGTAAGGTTCATTACATAACATTGCTTATTTTTTTAAAAAAAATAAAAACTAAATTTTTACAATTACTAATTCGTCAATAATTTTGTAATATTTATCATCATTTGAAATTTCCTTGTCAAATCGCTCGATTCTGCTAACCACTTGAGTTCATTAAGTTGTTGATTTACTTCATAGATATCCGGTCGATTTCCAGGTAAATTGTCCCAACATGCTTGATACAACTCGATGTATTTATCAGGCGTTCCGTGAATTGGTTTTTCTTTTTCATTGGATAGACCTAATGCATACTGATTTGGAATACGACCACTAGAGATAACCCAAAATAAAACACCGAGGCTATAAATATCTGATTTTTTGTTACGTAGAAAGTTTTCCATGTCGTTCAAGAATGCGGGATCGATATAACTTAATACTCCGCAATTTGTTTTGGAATTTGAACTTTCGTTCGAAAGTTTCGAATAGCCTAAATCCGCAATTTTAATTTTCCCCTTGTGAATGAGGACATTATTATGATTCTAGCATTTAAAGAATTCCACAATTAGTACAGGTTTTTATTTAACAAATTTATTAAGTATTGTATGCCTTACTAAATCACGATGAATTATGTCCGCATTATGTATACTCCTTAATCCTTGCGCAAGTTGTTTGGCTAAATTTAACTTGTCGTTACCAGTCAAATTAGAGAAATTTTTGTATAAATAATTTTTAAGAGTTCCGCCATCGGCATACTTCATAACAATCATGTATTTTTGCGTATGGTAGTCTAAAGTTGTTTAAGAAACTTTCTATTAAGCATTCAATTATGAAGCTATAATTATGTATATCCTTACCTTTAGTGATTCCGTAAAAACGAATTATATTTTTGTTGTGATTAAGGTTAAACAGAATTTTCAGCTAAGAGTATTTGACACAAATCGTGAACTTTGTAAATCTTTAGTTATTCATGACTCCTCTAGCTATAATCACTATAATAAATACCTCTGTAATAAATTTTTTATTTATTTCTTCGGCGTGCTTCCCGTCACTTAGATAAAGACTCTTTAGAGCTACAGTCAAATCTTCGTTTTCCATTTCTGCTCTATAAACTTCACCAAACGCTCCATTTCCAATAACATTTTTATCGGAAAATTCATTAAAATCGAAAAATTTTATTTGATTTTCTTTATTTAGCAAACCTAATAAATCATCAACGATAATTTCAGGTGCGTTGTTTGGAATTGAAAGTTTTTCATGATAAGATGCTAAATTTTCAGAGTCTTCACAATAGTTTTTTTTATCTGATGAATCTGGACTTTCTGACAGTTGTTCTTCGGAACTCATAGTAAATGATCGCTTTGGGATTGATGATGAAGCCTCAGATATTAAAACAGAATATTTTGGTGGGGACCAAAATATTTCTTTCAGATCTTGATTTACTTTATCTATAGCTGGGCGATTCGCAGGTGTATTATCCCAACATTTTTGATAGAGTTTGACATATTCAGGAGGCGTCCCAAATATTGTCATTTCTTTCTCAAGAATATTTTCATGAATATATCCATATTTATTAGATGGAGGGCGACCGCTAGAAATCATCCATAATAGAACTCCAACGCTGAAAATATCTGATTTTTCGTTTCGTCGAAAATTATCCAGATCCATTAGAAAAGCTGGATCAACATAGCTTATAATACCAAGGTCACTCCGTGAATGAGTGTTGTCGTTAGAAAGTTTCGAATACCCCAAGTCCGAAATTTTAATCTTTCCTTTATGTACGAGTATATTATTATGATTCTACAAATCGACATAAAATGTGGTTGTAATTCAACCAAATTAATGATATGATTTTTCTGTAACTTGAATAGATATTTTATATATATATATACCAAATCCCGATGAATAATGCCTTCATCATGAATGCATTTTATTCCCTCGGCAAGTTGTCTAGCGAGACAGAGCTTATCATTGCCACACAATTTCGTAAAATTCGATTTAAAATAATCTTTAAGAGTTCCACCATCAGCATATTTCAAAACAAGCATATATTTTTCTGAAACAGGTTCTGTTTATAGATTTATTAGTATTAGTAAAGTTAAGTTTAAACTCAATTTTATCTACACTTTTTTTTTCTTACCTTTAGTGATTCCATAAAATCGAATAATATTTGAGCCGTGATTAACATTTATTAAAATTTTTAGCTATAAAAGTTTTGATTAATTAAAAAGCTAATTTGAAAAACATGAATTTTAAATTAAGTACTTCTTTGATAAATTGTATATAAGAATCCTCTTTGCTTTGGTCATTTTTTATATAAAGGCATTTCAAGGCGACCGTTTTCCCGTCTTTTTTCAATTCTGCTTTAAATACTTCGCCAAATGCTCCATTTCCAATTACATTTATATCAATGAGCCTTTTAAAATCAAAAAATTTTATTTGATTTTCCGATATCGCGGTTTCTAACCATTTGTTTGCATTAAACAAAGAGTATGACATTTCTTGATCGTCATCGTCATTATCGAAAAAACGATTTATAATTCTCTCTGTAACACGTATCGATGATAACAGGACCGGAAAAACTATATCGATATCGATATTTCAATTTTTTGGCAGTGACCTATATACGTATAGTTTTCTCGATCCTTATACATGTATAACGATAAGACAAAGGTCCGAACGGTTCTCCGAGTACTTCCGAATCAAAATTTTTGCATGGTTTCGGTTCCAAACTAATAAATTTTATCCGTATTGTATTAAATTAAAGGCTATCAAAAATTTTTATTTAGTTGATAATTTTTGCCTTGCATTTCACAGAATCCCAATCTTCTTGCTCCCGTCAGATGTTCCCGTGTACCTGCATCTCCAAATCCTGGTTATGGTCATTGTCAAGTAGAATATTCACGAAAAATTTATTTGTAATTATGGTCCAGTGCAAAAAGATTCGTACCTCAAAATAAAAATTAATAATTGCTTCTAATAAAAGTCATTCAGAATTTAACTAATTTCTATAATATTTTTACATTAAATAAAGAATAACCTAAATTAACTATTTATATTATTTATATTATTCTTTTGTACTTTTATTCAAGAATAAATAATGCAATACTTTTCTAAAAAAACAAAATAAAAATTATTTTATTTTAAAAAATACATTTTAAGCATTATTTTTCTCAATTTGCTATATTAGAACTTCAAATTATGCAAACATATTGCTATAGATTTGATAAAAATATATTTTAAATTTCATAAAGATTGAATCAGTAGTTATTGCAAAATTAAGTCTTAAAGTTTAACAATTAAATTATTTACTATATATGTTTAATATCAAATTTTATATAGTAAAATTTATAAGATAAAAATTCAAAAAAGTTATTAATAGTAAAATTTTTTTATGAAATATATATAATTAAAATATATATATTAAAATAAATCCTTACATCTAATAACTTAAATAAATGAGACAGAATTAAAATTTTATTTTAAAAAAATAATTAATTAATGATTATTTGAGGTATGAATCTTTTTGCACCGGACCATATTTGAAATTGAACCTAATTTTTTGTTCGCAAGTGATTTTTCAGTTAATTGAAACTTTAATTCAATAATATTTTTTAGATAGAGCAAAATTTTCGGCTCATTAATTTTTTGGATAAAACGAAACTAAATACAAAGTATATATTGACTCATTTCGATTCGGTTCTAAGTTAAATTAGAACCGAATCGTTCAGATTTGTTCTACGAAAGTAATAAGGGAAGTGACAAATATTAACTAAGATCAATTTTATTATAAGGACCCTCCTCTCCCCCCCCCCCCGAGATTTCATTTCATTTAACACATGCATGTGAGATTATTATTAATACCTAGATTTGGCCACCCCTAATATTTGTCATTCACCTAACCGAACTGGAACCGTCCTAAAACCGAATCGTTTAGATCGGATATAAACAGAACCGTTCGGAACCTTAGATAAGACATACAAATATTGATTTCGTTTAAATATATAGGAAAAGTTGACTTGAAGGAATATGAAGTGCTGATACTTTTTATCTTAATGATTGCTGTAGATGAGTCAGTCCTCGACGACTTAATTGAATACACTCAAAACTTTCTGTTGAAGAATTGATGACTGAAGATTTTATTTTAGTTAATCAAATCGTATTCGAACACAGCCATTTTGCCAAACGAATTAAATGCAATCCTGCTGCAGTTTTTTGATTGAATGATTTACGCAACTTTACGAGATTGTTCTTAATAGGAACTGCTCAAGCTTTCGATCCCCATAGAGAAATGGACACAAAACAATTTTTAATAACTAAAATTTACACTTAAACAATGTTTACCACTAACTGCTTCTTTCTACAATAAAGTGATGTCTTGTTCAGAACTCTTATCAGTCAAGCTACATGTATATAATGATGTGTTTCATCATTACTTGGTTCCAAAAAGTGAATATATTCAAGCTAAAAAGCATCCAAATAACATAAAATCAAATTAATAAAATAAGTGAATGGATAAAGATGCAAAATACAAAAATATAGTCATTCGCTTTAAACTTATTGTTACCAGATACAATCCATTCACTTGACGAAGTATATAATACATCAAATGGTGATAGCTTTGTATATTATATCACAGAAAATTATAATATATAATATCGCAGTATAGTTTTATTTTATATTGACAGATTATTTTTTTTACATTTTTGTCTGAGTCGCGCGCGCATTGTAGTTGAGATATAAATTTTCTCATGGTGGATTCTTGTTTAAAAATGTGATTAATTTCGGAATGATTTTACAGCATCGTCTACTCCGCTAGTCGGATTACGGATTGAGTTTACGATAAATCTGAAGTTTAAATTTTCATAAACAAGTCGCAAAGTGTCATTCCTGAATGAGTGACCTTTGTATTATTATTTATACAAAGGATAACTGAATTACTATAAATGTTCCAATAAATTTACAAACAAGAGCGATGAAGAAGAGGAAGTTTTTCAAAGTGTAAAACAACACATTAAATATATTGTTCTACAAACCATATGTTGGTTTACACTTTTATTTAGTAAATTAGTATAGAATAAAATTACAGTCTACCCTCTCTATTATCAACCTCTTTAATATCAATACCTCTTTATTATCAACATATATTGCAGAACAAATTTCACTTGGACTAATATATCAATACTAACTCTAACCTCTGAGTTATCAACCCTCTTAAATATCAACAAAAATGCCTGGTCCCGTCATATTGACAATAGAGCGGGTAGATTGTATATGCTTAAACAATGCAGTTGATATAAGTCCTTGTACTTATAATGTTGTTTTACACTAATTTAACATAGAGTTTGTAGAACAACATATTTAATGTGTTGTTTTGCATCTCATAATAAATCTTAAGCACTTTATATAACCTCGTATTATATCAATTATACTAAAGGACTAACCAACCCCCCCTTTTCATTCAACATTTTTGTCTCACTCAGAAGAAAATTAACAAATAGGTAGTGTATAGATGAAGAAACTGATTGATTATTATTTTTCATCGAAAATTTAGATTTAAAAGGCCATATGCTTCGAGTCAAATGTACTTTGTTCCCTTTGTCCCGCTGTATCTTTCACCCGTCCAAACGAGTGGTCTACACGCCTTAACAAATGGTTCGTTGCTATAAGCCTCTTCAATAAACCTTCCAAAACCAGCTTCGACATTCGCGCTCATAAGGACAAGCAAAAACATGACGGTAAAAAATACAAAGATATATTTAAGGTTCATGGCGTTGGTATAAACGTTTTGCGAAGAAGAACGTCCTTGATCAGACCGAACAGAAATATACTCTGATTAGGGTTGATGAGCTAAATTAAAGAAATGAGTAAATATTGAGATAACTAGGCTCAATGGAATCAAAAACTCGTCACATAGATCATGTGACATAATATAAAGAAGGCAAAGCGGGAGTTGGTGTTTTTGAGCGTCGTCGTTTAATTGTTGTTGTTAGTTGCCTTCGAAAGTTGCGTTGCCATGATTGTGCTATTTTTGATGTGTTGTCTAATTTCTGGAATTATATTGCTCTTATCTTTATTTCTCTTTTTATAATCCGAAAAACATATATAATATAACGAGATTTGCAGAATTTGTGGCCGATTATACTTTTGACTGTATCAAGAGAACCCATTTAATCAACTGCACATACCTCTTCGATTATCAATACGTAGTGTTTAGAAAAAAGGATATCGCTATAAAAATAATTTCTTTTCGATTCTTGATAGTGGTTAGAAAAAGGATGTCTCTGTAAAGACACTTTCTTTTATGCATATCTGGGCAACGTATGACTTAGTTTGTTTCAGCAGAAAGATAATGAACTCAAAAAATAGTAACGATTAGTGTCTGGAACCTGTTTTCGTCAAGACAAAACAAAGAACTCAAAATTTTCTCACAATGATAACGTGCATACCTAACTAGTCTTTTCTCAGCTGGTAAGACAACCTACTCAAAGAGTCCTCACAATGCTCACAATGATATCATGTACAGTTTGTTTTCGGCAGAACAAGATAAAGAACTTGAAATTTTCTCGCAATAATAACCATTAGTGTCCATAACTTGTTTTTTGCAGGACAAGACAAAGAACCTAAAAATTTCTCACAATGATAGCATGTATACCTAAGCAATATATATAACTAGTCTATTCTCGACAAAGATCAAAATAGCTCTCAAAATGATAACGATTGGTTCCCGGAACAAAGTATCTCGACCGAGACATTACTCTGCTGAGATACATGAATTGTTAATTTAAATCAAATATGGGTAGTTGATTTATTTTCTTTGCAAAAATTCTTGCTTTGTTATCCATTTTTTGAAAATCATAAGCCGGGAAAATATAAAAATGCTTTTATACAGTATTGTGTTTGAAAACCTTAAAATAATACACGTATATTTATCAATTATCATTCTTAAATATAGAGTATAACATCAAAATATTTAAGTGATAAAGTTTGAATTTTAAACAATATCAAAATTGCATAATCATGGAGTATCAATCTGAACCATGCGCAATTGCAAAATGGAGTATAATATAAGCCTGCCATTTGAGCCTAAGCATGTGAAATTTTCGGAAAAAAATGCTGTTCGAAAAAAAGAACTTCAGGGTAGATCAAATGACAAGGATTTTCCGTAACATAAGCATTCAAAATCAGTGTAACTTGCGAAACGAGTTTTTCTTATATTTTTACTTTGCTAATTTTAAATTATACCATTATTGTAAGTACGTACACTCGGTGGACAAAAGTTTACAATCAGGAAATGATCGACATAAATTTAGGGTGGGTATTTTTCTATTGTA